ATAGGAAACTTAGGTAGGATTCTCAATAAGTCAGGACAAAATATGTAGCATTCAGACCCACTAATTCGCTTAGAAAAAATGATTCTGTGCAGTTCATCAGACGAAATGATTTAGTCTGTTTCATACTATTCAGTGACTGTGAGATGAAAACCGTGGTTCACTGTCGCTTCCCATGGTCATTTAGACTGATGGAGCACAAATAATTTGTGAAATCTTGGCTAGCAAAACCTTTTAGGATAAGACACCTAGTAAAAGCTTAACTACAGATCTCCCATGCATTTAAACTCAACCATACAATAAGTGACGTCCGATATAACAGAATAGGGTGATAGGTTGTAAATGCATGCAACAGGAATGATTAAATACCTCTCCCGGATTTTGGAAAGAACGAGAACTGCAGATATTGAGTTTCGTAGTTAGATAGTCACCACTGATAGGATTGCTAACAATAAAGTCTTTTTCCAAACATAATCCCATTGATATATTCAGCGAAAGATAAATAATATGGACGTACACACTGTCAGTGTCCAATTTTCGCGCATATATTAATTTCACTTGGAAATTCCGTAGCTTTGTTTGATGTTACGTATGCCAAACTGTCGCATTTGTCATCGCACAATATTAACTGATAATAGATTAGGTTGGAAAATAATTAAGGGTAGTCAAATCAAAGCATAGCATCAGTCCATAAAGGCTTTTATTGTCGGAGCTCCAGACTGACTGCTTGAGATCTTCAAGATACAGTTTGAAGCGGCTAGTCTAGGTACTTCATCTTTCAGTCGAGGTAGCACCATCGATCGTGCAGAGAATAATACGTGTATTTCGCCAGCATTAAAAGTTCTTTGAACTGATTTTCTTAATTTCTTCGTAATTATCTCGCTTGGTATATTGTCCATGAATTATAGTCGTATATATAAAGGCTTCTTGTTTACAGACAGTGAGTAGTCCTTTTCCCCTTTCTTTGTCATGTGTTTCTTGATAAATTTGTCGGGATAGCCATTTTCGATTAAACTATCATATACAATGCTGAATTCGTATTCAATTACTTCTTCTGAGCATATAGCTATAACTCTGTGGCTAAGGGTCTTCACTAAATTTCTTTTGTAATTGACAGGAACGAATCTATGAAAATATGTATATTGTCCTGTCCAAGTGCTTTTTCTATGCAAATTTCTTTTTATGCTATCTTCAAGACACTTAGCATTAGTAGTTATAGACTGTTTGTTATATGGATGAAAATCACTGTCAATGGAGTAGATGCATTCACTATGAGATCTCATAGATCCATTGTCTTCATCATTCTTTCTCTATTACACTTCTAGTCGTTATGGTTTCTTTGTATTTTTTCATATTTGGTGATTGAGTTTTCATTATCATTCCTGATAATACCTCCAACATTAACACCATCAAAAAATGACCTATTCTCATTCTGACACCACATCAGCGTAAAGGTACCAGTAATTTTCAATCTTCTTAGACGAGCACACATTTTGAAAACGGATGAGAAGGAAAGCGATGAAGAAATATCAAACATTACTGGGACTTTCAAGCAAAATAACCACACAAAGAGCTTCACCGAAAAAAATCAATACCGACATTAAATATGGTCGAATACGTATTCCAAACACATGGACTTCAATAGTTGTCATTCCGCATAGACCAGAGACGTCATACGATATCAGAAGAGTACTCAATAAGCACAATATCACAATATCAAAACACCAGACACACTGTGAAGCAACCCAGTCTATATAAATGACCAATTCCCTAAAGACTCTGTCTCACTGTGTCTACAAAACAAAATGCTGGAATATGATGCCACGTACATCAGACAGACATCAAGAGAATTCCAGATCAGAAGAAATGAACACCGTAGGGCCGTATCTATTCGACCACCGAGAATTCCAGATGAACTGGAAAAGTTTGAAAAATCATCACCCATAGGTCTACACGCTATAAAATCAGGTCACGAATTCATCTTGACGATATTCAAGTAATCGAGAAAAACCATAGAAATCACAAAGAACGTCTAATATCATCAGAAGCACTTCATATCAAATGGAATCCAAATTGTCTGAATAGGAATGATGAACTAGAACAGAATTTGACCTGGTTAAAACACCGTACCACAACCCCATGAAGTGACGGAATCAACACGAATGTGATGGCAATTTTATTATGTGAACGCATGCTGCTTTTTTATAATTTCATACGCTTATCAAATCCAACAATCTACAATTAGTTTCGTTATCTTTACCAAATGGCCGATTTGACAACGTAAATTTATCCCATTCTTATGAAGGATGTTTAAGTTGTTATATATAAGCTGAAATTTTGTAAATTCTTGTTTAATATAACTACTCTGATAAAGCTATCAGCAGTATTAAATAGCGAAACGTCAGTAAAAGCAGAAATATCGTTTTGTTTTTCATTCACTCATTGGGAAGTACAAAATCTTTTATGACAATAATCTTTTCGTTTATTTATTGTTTTGTCCACAATAGGCGCTTCTTTTATTTCATTCACCTACTAAAGTTCATTTGATATGACACTACATAATTTGATGCGGGGGAAAATATAATTTTCCCATTGGAAGTATTCTGATTATCTTAGGCTCATTAGGCTCGATGATTTGACCATGATTTTAGCATTCTCACTCATTCTTGATAAAAGTAGTCATACAAAATAATGCAGAGATTTCTTCCGACCAAAATCCTGTATTAAACATAATAAAAGCCAATTTATACATTCACTCTATTATTATTATTGTTTCCTTTAATTCCTAGAGGAGCACATGGCTTCAGCCGTGCGTCTCCATTGCGTTCTGTTCTCTGCTAGAGTATTCACCTGGCTCCAAGTCTGTCCACATGCTTTCATCTCCTCTTCACATAACCTCCTCCAAGTCACCATCGCACTGACGACCAACTCGCCGCTTCCCTTTCGGGTTCCACTCGAGCAATGGCTTGTCTAGTGATGTCACTTGATGCTTTCCTCAGAGTATGGCCAATCCTCCTCCATTTCTTCCTGCCTATTTGTTTCACAATTGGTTCCTGGTTGGTTCGCTCATTGCCAGAGATCTCTGTTGCTGATCTTGTCTGGCTGGCCATCTGATCTTGAGTAGTATTGAGCGAAGACAACTGCTAATGAAGGTCACTCAATAGTGGTTTCTAAGGATAGAAAAAGATTACATAACACTCAGAGACACGCCGGAAGTAGGAATTTGAAATTTGATAAGGTGGAAATTAGTTTTAAAGGAGAAGCAAGTCAGCTTTGTCCAATTGATCCATATGATAGGGAGAACAAGACACTCGCTGATAAAGTATACAAAACGGATTTGTGACAGTATTAATATTAGATCACTTTCAAACTTGTGGTGATGAATTGCTAGCGCCTTAGCCACACATAAGTGTCGAAGCCTTTGTACTATTCGTCCTTTCCCTGCAGAGCTGCATGACCTAGCTTGATATGGAAGGTGCTCGATAATTTTCTCAGTAAATGACTTTCACTGTCTCATTCATAACCAAGCCACATAATGTTTTGAGTTGATAAGAAAAAACAAAAAGCCAGTGGCAGCGAAGAAAATTTTCTTTTCGATGAAGTCATCAACTAAACCGTACATTTGCGAATGTACAATATAAGGGTGAGAAAGTCATGGAATTATTCCTGGTTAAAAAGCAAATTCTAACACATCACAATATGAAAATTGTTATACAAATATGGATTAAAAACAATTAGGAAAATACTTCGATTGCGCAGCAACTAGTAACTAATGACTCGTGTGTAGTCCTCTTTTTGGTGCATACTGAATTTTATTAGTCAAATTTGAAATGAGACCACCGTACTAGGTGGCTCTTCATCACGGGACACTCTTTATTACTGACATCTGATGATTGAAGGAAATTGGCAGGAAGCATTAGACCTAGGTTTCGTGTTTCCTGGCACTCATTAGTCAGTGAGGAGTGTCTGAAACCTTGAAGGAACTCGTGTCCTTCCTGAAATTCGAATCCGTGTCACCTAGTCCAGCAGTTAGAAGCGCTTTCACTGAGCTATTCAAGCTGGGGATCGACCATCTAATAACAACATTTCAGAGTGCACCGTGATGACGGGCTAACTAGAATGGTGAGCACATTGCAAACTTGACTGACAATAGAATTCAGTCTGCATCAAACTAAGGACCAGACACGTGAAACTAGTTACTAATTAATGTCCAATCAAAGCATCCAATACAGTCCTACAAGGAGTCAATCGTGAGCCCGAACAGCTCGCTGGTAATGTCTCTGACTGTAACAATGGGTAACATGGGTTCGAATCTCAGAAGGCACATGAGTTCCTTCAGGATTGTAGATAAGCCTTGTTGACTGGTAAGTACCAGTAAGCAGGAAACCTAGGTTGAAGGCTTCTTTCGATTGCTTCCAATCAACCAATAACAATAAAGAAAATAAACAGGACTTTGAGATAATAAACACAAGAGGATAATAATTACCGACAAAACTGGATGCTTTTGATGGCCATGGTGAATACAAAGATTTGAAGTACTTGGCTTGATGTTTTCAGATCTCTGGTACTTCACTTATGCCCAAATTCATTGATCTCACTCTTTTTGAGAGGTTAAACTGGATCCTGTGTAGAAATCTGAAGGATTTTTCAAATGGAGCTGAGTTTTCCAAGTACACCAGTTGCTTTTATTATCCAGCTATAAACACACATACTTTCTTCCTTTGCTAGTTAGGCTGTTCTGAGATGTAAATAATTACAATGGACCCAATGTACTGTGAGACCATTTATAAACTTGAAATTATCATAAATAAGTTGAGCAATAATCCTGTTAATCCTTTATTATTACTCCAACATCCTAGTGGAAGAAGTAAGGGACACTTCTTCAAATTGCAACTGCATAAAGCTTTGCTTGTCATGGGAATTTATTTATGCGCGAATACCGGACGTTCGATTAATATACATAGAATATAATGCATATGTTAACTTCTTTTTTTATATTTTAGGTTCGTATCAGCCCAGTGATTAGTCGTAAAGGCTACCTACTTGTTTTGGAGGAAAGAACAGCTGGTTGGTTACGTAGGTGGGCTGTTGTTAGACGACCTTTCCTTTATCTATACAATCATGAAAGAGATCTAGTTGAAAGAGGTCTTATCAACTTGACTACTTCACAAATAGAATATGAGTAAGTTTCAAAGTGATAAAATAGTCTACTTTTTCTTTGTTAGCTATTTATATTTTCTATAGTTGGTTTGTAAGGATTAGTTTTGTTTTTAGAAGTTGATCATGGATTGATATCAGTTGGAGAACCATTGAAAATCAGCACTGGAGTACTGGACAGCTACCTCATCCTAGTTCGGGAATCATCGGCAGTACGCACCAACCACCAGGGTTCGAAAACAGGACTTTCCGGTGACAAGACAAGCTAGCTCGTATACCATTCAGCCATTGGGACCCGACTGAATGGCCATCCCATGAATTTTAACTTCTGCCGATTCGTGATTTAGCGCGACCCCAACCTACGACCAGTGCGATCCATCCAGTCAAGTGTCTAAAGATGGATGTCCCACCAATGACATTGGTTGGTGGTCACGCTAAATCACGAATTAGTAGAAGTTAAGATTTATTGGTCATTGAGTCGGGTCCCAGTGGCTGAATGGTATACGAGCTAGCTTGTCGTGTAACCAGAAGGTCCTGTTTTCGAACCCTGGTGGTGGGTGTGTACTACCGATGATTCCCAAACTAGGATGAGGTAGCTGTCCAGTACTCCAGTGCTGGCTTTCAATGGTCCTCCAACTGATATCAATCCGTAATCAATTCGTAAAAAGGTATTTATATGTCAATTTTCACGTGTGCCATTTTTTGACAACTAACTATTACCAGTCAACAGGTTCTACTACCCGACCTTCAGTCTACACACAGGGATCCGCATTTTATTTCCGGTTGCGTACATTTAAGAATACGCACTACACCGCTATGCTACTTAGTGCATTATTTAAGCATGGAGCTAAGCGTTCATCTGTTGATGGGGACTGGTACATGCGCATTTCATTCCACTCAGCATTCGTCAGATGAATGTACGTTTATCCCAAGTGAGTGATGGTGATCACACTCAAACTCGTCCCCAGAGTCAGTCGTTTTGAACTTCACATTGGTTTATATTCTCTCCGGACAAAAACATCAGACCTTTATTAAGTATACAATATGTCATTTTTTAAAAGAGAAATGCCATTTTTCCTTTTATCAGCAAATTTATTGGTGTGTCACAAAAATTTAGGTGACACCATAAGAGAAATTCCTAAATTGATTGACCAGTTCAAAATATTTTTTGGTTGTACTCGATAACACTCACCAATAGCATTTTCGCTTTCTGATGAATAAGTTTTTGAGTTGGTTGATGGCATAATTTGCATTGCAAAAAGTAATTAATGAATATAATTTAATAATTCCCATTGTAACATTAGGAAAACAATTTCTACAGAGAAGAGAATCTTTCCAGCGAATTTATTATCAAGCTTTACATTCATATATATATATATATATATATATATATATATATGTATATATATATATACGGCTTATATGAAATTATATCCCGTAAGGAAATTTAAGTGAAGATATCAATTTTAATTGGTGGATGATGACTAGCAGTGGAATCCACCAGGATGCGCATTTCATCTTATTTGGGACTCGCCAGCTGAATGCGCCTGCATTCCGCAGTGAGTGATGATGTTCCCACCAGGGCTCGAACCCAGTATCCATAGTTTCAAACGCTAAAGCGTTATCCACTAGACCACCTGGGCCACGAGAGCCACCTCTTGTGCATTTGAAACTATGGGCACTGCGTTAGAGCCTCGGTGGAAACATCACCACTCACTGCGGAATGTAGGTGCATCCAGGTGACGAATCCCAAATAGGACGAAATGCGCATCCTCGATTCCACTGCTAGTCACCATCCACCGATTAACTTCTAATTACACGTCTAGACATCGTCGAAGCATCTGTACAAGAAGCCGATATGTCAACCTGAGACCGAGCACTTCAGTTCAATCAATCGACGAGAAAACTTTAAAAGTGAATTAAAGGTTTGAATACATAAAACAATAATACCATGAGATTCAATTAAAATATTCATAATTATAATCATAATTAAATATCAGGTGTCAAGCGGTGAAACAAATAATGCCACGCTTAGAATAATTCATAGGATGTTTAGGTGTTGGAGAGGGGTGTATAATTATAGGGTTAGTTGGCATATAAAACACTACGTAACACGGTGGGAAATTTGATAAGTTAGAATTCAACATTGCAAACATAAATTTTGATTTAAAATTACAAGCGAGACAAGTGGAAAAAGTTCAGAATGAGAATAGTAGTAATAATAATCACAGTAATGAAGGAAAAGTACATAGAATAATTAAATAAACAAAATATGGCCAAGATTGAAACAGGGATTGTATGTACTTCCTTTGTACACAAAGATCTGACTTGAATTCATGAATGGCTAAGGTCTTCGCTGTCTTTAGAAGTTTATCACGAAGAAAATACGGCAAGTTATCATGGATTCAGTTGATGATCTTAGAAATATAGTTAGGGTTGGTAGAGTGACAGGAGTCGATCAAGTGTTCTAGGATAGAGTTTCGCATGCCCTTCCTTTCTGCCTTGTAAAGTCATACTGAGATAAGTTCTGGTGTCCGTATGTAAAGTATACTCTGGCTAAGGCTAATGTACCTTGCTTTATAAGATCAGATGAACTGTAGATACATATTGAAGTAGCCGAACTATTGATCCTATCTTCTACACAGATGGAGGACAGCTTACAGCAGATGGACGTCATATTTCATTTGGTTGGTTAGAACTCACCAAAGCTGCACGTGCGTTGGTGGAATAGCGGTTAGGACGCTCGCCGACCATGCACATGGTCCGGGGTTCTATCCTCAGCCGACGCATTCCTTTACCTCGCTAAGCCAGAAATAATGCCGGTGAAGAAGGAAGGTTGGGCATGAGGCTAGCAACCCCATCCTGTAAAATAAACACTGCTAAAGAAACTTCAAGCCACTAGCTTGAAGCCCTATGTTCCACTGGGAACGTGAAAGCTGCACCAAATTATCAGCCAAAAGTGTTGTTTGAAAGCTGATGATAGTAACTACTTATTGACCAAGCTTGGTTGGGTGAAACACAACCCGACCTCTGAAGTCGCTAACTCAAAGTCGGATATCAACTGGCGAGAATGTTAGTTTTGAGGTGAATTTCTGATCGGAGTTTTATTCAGTTTTAAAGAAATCACAAGTCAACGACTTTATGAACTGCTTTCATAACACTGAGCGTCAAGCAATGCAGTATACAATCATTGACATATATTTCAAATTACTAATTTAGTTAGTTTGTGGAGGCCGTTGAGTTACATCACACGCCATCAAGGTGGAACCCGAATAGGAAACAGCGATTTGGAGGTGTGAATGTGAGAAAGAGATGAAAGCATATGGACTACCATGGATTCATCCAAAGAAGAGAGCAGAGAAAATTAGAGATGTAACGTTGAAGCCGTTATGCTCCAATCAGGACCCAAGGCAATAAGAAAATTAGTAACTTAATTAGTTCGGTGTTTCACAGTAGAACTCTCAACCATTGCTTTAAAGTGCTATGGAAAGAATGGAAAAACTTAGAAAACATGTTTTAAAGCTGTCAGTTTACATCAAACTTTTGAGGAAAAGATGTAGACGACTGAGCGTCAACACCGTCTTTGTAACTTCGTCGGTGAGATTTCACATAAAATGCTGGTATATGATAAGATATTGTGCCCGAAACGTCATCCACTTATAAATATTGTATGTTATATCGGAATAAAGATATCTAATTTGAAATGATTCTTCCAGTTAGTTCTGAAGTCACTTCAGTTTTTTCTATTGATTAAGCAGAAACCAGATGAAGGACTTAAAATAGTGATGATATTAGTAGTTGGAGGCAATCGGCCATAGGGGGAAGCCTTGGACCTCTGTTTCGTGCTAGTTGGCACTCACCAGTCAACAAGGCGTAGCTGCTACCTTGAAGGGACTCATGGCCCTTGTGAGATCCGAACCCGCGTCACCAAGTGCAGTGTTGTAGTCAGAGACGTTACCACTGAGCTATTCGGACTTACGATTAAGCTCCTGTAGGACTCTAGTGGGTATTGTCATTGGACAATAGTAACTAGTGTGAAGTGTCTGGTCCTCTGTTTGGTGCAGACTGAATTCTGTCAGTCAGTCAGGTTTGCAATGTGGCCACCATTCTAGGTAGCTCACCATCGCGGTGTACATTGATTTGATGATATTAGATAGTTGGAGGCAATCGGCCACAGGAAGCGTTGTATGACCTAGGTTTCGTCCTAGTTGGCACTCGTCAGCAAGACTTAAAATATGTCTTTAGTTGGATAAAATCATTACTACCTATACAGATATCAAAGCACAAATGTCTAATAACTTCAAAGTTCGATTTAGCGCCAATCATTCAATAGTTTCAATACAAAAGCAAGAATTTATTAACAGCGAATTCCAGGCAATTTTTCTTTGAAGCTATTTAAGTGTATTTTTTGTCTAATGTTTTTTAGTATGAATATGGCATATGAAGAAGAAGAAGACTTCACTATGGATGATACGAAATCTGGTTCTGTTCATTTGAATTCTGAAAATGAGCATGTTATGTCACCGACATCTTTATTCCCAAGTAAATTGAATATGTTCACACTGATTACGGAAACACGAACTTTACTTATACAAACCATAGCCGAAGATGGGTCAGACATTCATGATTGGTTGTATGCGCTTAATCCTTTGAAAGCTGGAGAAATTCGGTAAGTCAGCTAAGATACGTATACAGAGCAGAGCTTGTTGATTCAGTAATAATAATATTAGCTAATTAAAAACGCCTATTAAAACTTTTTTCAAAATAGTGGTTACTTAACAAAGAATATTCTTTACGATAACCTCTTCTTCATCGTTAGGTTCAACAGTTATATGTACACATAATTAGGAATAAATTAGTGTTATTAACAACATTAATGCTGTTTAAATCACATCGAATCAATAATAATATCAATGGATTACATTTCGATGGCATCAACATAACAATACACCGAATATCAGAGAAAGTAGGGAAGGTAATATTACAAATTCATGAATTTATTATCTCCACTGAATCCCAGTGAAGTAGTAGTGGCTAGACTTGCTTCTTCAGCACACAGAGCACGGGATGTTTAAGGCGAATAGCGATAGCATCTGCTGTTTGGAGTATGCGGTACGTGCATGTTTTTGGCAATTTATTTGGTACCCGATAGATGATGGAGAAGGATTCTTCAAGCTTACTATCTTTGTGGCCGGTTTGAAACAGGTGCTGTAATATCGAGCTGTTGACCCTTCTTCTCACTACACCTTTATTTAATCTCATTGGTAGATGCTCTCGAGTGAGCTTGAAAAATCAAGTTCCTACAGTAACGGCCAATGTAAGTCGCTCCACCACAAGCGCAGTTGAATTGGCAGATACAAATAGAAGTGGCCAATCTAGGTACTTCAATGGTGACGCACTTAGTGAAGTAATTTCTAATCTGAGACTCTGCTTAGGATTCTCAGCAAAGCAGGAATTAGGGTGGCATTCAAACCTACAAACTCACTCAGAGACAAGCTCTGTAGATTAAAGGACCCGGTGGACCCAATTAAACAAAATAATATAATTTACAAAGTACCTTGAAATGATTGTGAGGTCAACTATATAGGTCAAACTAGTAGATCAGGAGTAGTGAGATTATCAGAGCATAACAATTTAGCGAAGGTTAGAATGAATGACCTCACCCACGAAGATAAGTAAGTTAGAAAAAAATCTCAGCTATAGCACTGCATTCAGTAACACGCAACCGTACAATAGGGCGGGTGGGACAGAGTCAAGATTCTAAACAGTTATCTAGGTAGGTGGAGATAGAGAGAGATTGATTACTGAGTCCTGTCCAGTTCATTGAGTCTACACCCAATACATGCAGTAGAAGTGACTCAACGCAAGTACCAGAGATATGGAAGATATTATCACCAGCAGTCAAATCAGAGGAGGATAATAAATAATGTTAAAATGTATTCAATTCGCATTATAACATTCTAAAAAGTTACTTATTATTTTTACTATAAAAAACATCTTATTTCCTATCTGATTATGTTTGATTGATAACACTAATATTATTATTTCCGAATGTAGTTAATCTTATATTGATTTTATTCAATTGTCTAATGAATTTTTACCCGTGTAAATAAACGAAGTTGGAAAGTTGTGTGAGTAGTGCCTTGATATGATTATGAGCGATAGTTTGTGCTCGAAACTTGGTCATCAATTAATACTACTGTAAAACACTGTGTGATTTTATCAAAATAAAAATCTTATCCTGAATGGAGTTATATTCCTCCACAGTGCTCAAGTTTTATTATTATTATTGTTCCCTTGGATTCCTAGTGGAAAAAAGGGCCTCAGCTGCACGTCACCACTTGCTTCTGTCTTCTGCTGTACTTTTCACCTGCATCCATGTTAATCCATACTGTTTCAACTCCTCTTCATACGATCTCCTCCATGTCACCCTTGGACGTCACACTAGCCGCTTCTCTTTCGGGTTCCACTCGAGCACTGGCCTGACGCGCGATGTCACACAATGGCCTCCTCAGCTCAGCGAGTGTCCAATCCATCTCTACTTCCTCCTGCATATTTGTTGAGCGATTGGTTCTTGTTTTGTTTCTTCCCATAGCTTCTTGTTTGTGATTCTTTCCGGCCATCTGATCTTGAGCATAGAGCGAAGACAGTTGTTGATAAAGGTGTGCAACAGGCTGTTGGAAATATTCTTTGTGACACACTGGCCAAGTTTCTGATCCGTATAGAAGAACTGACTGACTTGACGTCGTTTGTATTGAAAATCCGAATTTTGTTGTTGATGTTGAGTGACGAAGACTTCCTGGTGCTGGGTGCCGAAGTTTTATTCTTATATCAATAATTTCTAACAAGGTGAGAAAATATATTCAAAGAACTTTAAATGCTGGTGAACTACAAGTCATATTGGTGATGCCCCAAAATGAAAGATGAGAAGTTAGCGAAAAGTGTGACCTCCAAAATAACAGTGGTTTTGTACTACTAGCGCAAACTACTGCACACATTAACAAACGTAATATCAACAAGATATTAAATAATAATTACAAAATACCAAAGATCAAGTACAAACGTTCTGAATGCCTGAAAAAGATTTGGCGAAACTAAAAAGTAAACACAAGCCAGACAAGTTTCTGTTAATGTTCTTCTGCATAATTTACGATGCTTTCTTGATTGGCATATACAGTTTGAGAGTTTAATTTTGATGATTTGAAAACACGGCTTAATGTGATAAATCTGTAGGATTATTAGACACAAAAACAAGTTATTTCAAGGATAAGAAAGCATAGACCTCAATAGTTCAAAGATTTCTGTGATAGAGAATATGTAATATGATCAAAATTACAGCTTTTATGGTTAGATTTATTGTCATTACTGTTATTATTACAACTGGGTATTCAGTTTATAGTGTGACGCTCAAATAAGTGGAGAATAGTCTCTCCGATGTCTCTCTTTACACAGCCATGCGAATCGCTTGACAAATAAATGCAGAGATGTGTAAAGAATCATGAACATTTTCAGTAAAGCAAGAGCAACAGTTTCTACAGAATAATATGGTGCCATCATGTATATCGTCAGCTCCTCATTAGCCGCGTACAGACTAAAGAAGTCATTAGGTTTTAACAAACTGGTAAATGTTACGTAAGGTCAGTTGACAGGAGACTTCAAACATAATAAACAGTGTTCAGATAATATACTTACACACCTCATACTCAGAAAGCTATATTTTAACCAAAATAAAAATTTTCAAGTATTAGTTTTGTAGAGATTGTGTTTAATCAGTTCGAGGGTTTCATCAACACTAGCGACTGGCCCTATTCAGGCAGTTAACCTACGGCTCTAATGGGAAGCCGTGACCAGTAGGGTACAGCAGATTGAAGGTGAGGCAATAACTCGTTGAAGAAGACTTTGCTAAGTGGTCACGAGCTATGTCATGAATTGGTAGAAGTTAGAATTCGTAGGCCACTGGATCACATCGCAGTGGCTCGCCTTGTAACCAGAAGGTCCTGAATTCCAACCTCAATCGATGGGCGCGTACTACTGAAGAGTCACAAGCTAGAACAAGACAGCTGTCCAGTACTCCTAGCTGGTTTTCCAATGTTTCTCTAAATGATATCAGCTCACGATGTAACCCTCGAACCAAAAGAAAATAAAGCTTGAATACAAAGGTAAAAGCGTTAAGTAATAAAGAAAAGAGATGAGTAGGGTGGTGTGTAAATAATAAATTGAGTAATAGTGTCGTAAGTTCAACTCAGATTGTAGTGAATAGAGGGAGGCTAAAGACAAGGATTACATAATCGAATGAAAGATTGAGTAAAGACATCCAGTTGCCAGGACAAGGAAAGACTAATAACTGCTACTTTCAGAAAGCATAAATCGGATTTCCAGTGTTCGATAGCAGTTGCCTCGGCATATGTGAGGAGAGGTGATAATTTTAAAAGCCTTCATAACATTCACCTTATGATCCATAATGACGAGATGTCTGACAAGGAAAATATTGCAAGCGTTTGTTCCATTGAGATATAGGCCTTTTGTGGTACTTGTCCAGCAAATCGAAGGTATACTCTTCTATCTGTTCTCTCAGTATAAATGCTCCTGCAGATACATGTAAATCTGTATTCATATGTATATTTAGGTTAATAGGAAAAGGATATCTGTGGAGTTTTTACTTCAATGAAGAGCATGTTGTCAGATAAACTGGAACCAATTTAGCTGCAGGATAGGTTATGGTTGGTGAGGTATTCAACCGTCATCTGACCATTCGTGCTGTTGTTGCTGCTGCTGGATTCAACATAGAACTTGGCACCGAAGTGCAGCAGTTCGAGTTGCCACGTTCCAAATAGCACACACAGAGGTAGACAAGAAGATGAGTGAAGAGAATCAATAGAGTTTTGACAAGTATCAGAGTGAAACAGAATGAGTAATGGTAGAAAGGAATATGAAAAATTACACAAGAGACTGAATACATCTGCGTAAGCCATTGACAACGATTTTGCCCCTTGTCACCTATTGTCTACAGCCATTGATTCTTAGAGTCCCGAGGTCCCCTACCCGGAAGTCTGCATTTCCCTCCCTACCTGACTCAGTTTAACTGTCAACGATTTCATGGATTGATTGATGCCATGTTTTTGTTTGGCCATCACTTACTCTTTTCTAACCTGCACCTACTTATATCAGCTAGTGATACCCGTCGGGGGAGGCGATGATTAGACATGCGTAGCACGTGACCTAGCCATCTCAATCTATGTAACTTTATAGCCTCTTCGATCGATTTTCCCTCTTTGCTCAACACTCTACGCCTAACCTAACGTCAACATCACTTACCTTATTGTACCACCTAACGTGAGAAAGAGATCGTATACATATATGATCAAAAACAGTCAACCTTTTCATGTCTTCCTGAAATATTGTCACCTTTAAAGTCGAGCTGAATCAAGAAAGGCTTCATATCCACTACTTGGTATTCGAGTCTTCACATTTTCTGTCGTTGTTAGTAGATTTCTAAGGGCAGCCATTGTTTTTCAACACCTTTTCGGGAATCCAAAATTCTCCTTGTAGAGCATATTCCCCTGACTCGATCAAACAAAGTTTTGACCAATGTTCATTTATAGCTGTTTGGACGAAAACTATTCAAATGTAAGTGTTGCCCATTCCATTTAGGCTTTCAGTGATCTCCCGAGACTATCATCTTCCAGGCATTGGATGGTGATGTCAAGGGAAATGAGATTTTGTATCGCTTCCATGCTGCATAGTGAATTCATTACTCGTATTTGTACCGTTAAATAATAATAATAATTTCGCTTTATTCCAAAAACAGTACCAATGATACAGCAAGGAATTTTCAGCATTCAGTACAATATTGCACCTAATTTACTCAAAAACGACAACAAAAAGAAATAAATAAAAGAAATAATCATTATATAATAATGATAACAAAACGTCTTTATAGCAGCTATGTAGCAATTACAGTATACGATAAAGATAAAAATACGCATAAAGTATAAAGTTAAAGTAATAATAGTAATGACAACTAAAATGAAATAGCAAAGTTATAATTAAACGATAGAAAGGGTGACACCATAAAATTACAGAAAGATGAACAGTGAAAGGGTCGATTCACTATGCTAACTACATAATAACTTATATGTTTCACGTCTAACAGAGTCTTCATCACATAAAATACGGGCTAAATACGGTATTGTAGAATTTTTGTACTTAGTGGTACGAGCATATAACTTCTTATATTGACTTCTCGTCCTACCTGATGAGATACAAGGGGATAGTTGTGAATAAAGAGTGTGCAGAGGGTCTGACAGTACGGCCTTTGTCCACTTTGTACTGGAATTTATGTGTCTCTCGACTATAGTATTGGCGAGCTCATGCAGTGGCAAACCACAAGCCCCATTCACAGCATTTAATACCCTTCGTAATGTGACATAGTCTTTTTTAAGAAGCCCAGGAAAGATTAATGGAGAACAATAGAGTACAATAGGTAAAATACAGGAGTTTACAAATTGCAAAACAAAAGATTGGTTGATACCTGATTGTCTTAACCTTTTAATGTAGAAGGTAAGACGAAACATTTTCCTAGAGATCAATAAGATGTGGGATGACCATGAAAGGTGAGAGGAAAGAACTAATCCGAGGTATTTAATGCTTGACTTGGTTTCAATTTCCGTGCCATCTATGCTACAGGTATCATGGGAACTAACTAGTTCATGTATGTCACGTCGATGCTTGAAAGTAAAGTTAACTGCCTGACATTTGGAAGGATTTAACTTAAGACCATTTGACTTAGACCACTTACTGATGTCCAACAGAAAGCTATTAATTTTGGAGCAGTTAGACTCGGAAGTGATAGGCAGTGATACAGTCAGATCATCCGCATATTTGACAAAATTAGTTTCGTTTAAATGTGGCAGGTCGTGTAGGAAGAAAGAATAATCTGGGTAGGCAGAGTGCACGACCATCATTGTTGCATACTACAAAGGTCTCATCGAAAAAGCGTCTCCCCACGCAATCTTTCGAATCACTGAATCATACGGGTTTTATTAAACCAAGAGAGTCATTGCATTTCCTTTGGAAATCAACTGTTATTAGTATACATCTGCAATAAATTACCTATGATGTAATTAACAAAAGACCGCTAACCGCATATACTATTATTAAATTCGAAAATTAACCTTTCGAGACAGGTTCCTAGGGAAAAACTCTCCGACATACATATGTTACTGTCCATATTGTGGCTTTATTCGTCAAATAGATAATATATATATGTCTATAAATCCACCACAAGTAGGCATTACCGAAGATATTAATCATCTTTTGGGTTCATGTTAAAAATAAAGAGCACCGGCGTCATTTGCCTCAATGAAATTGTCCACAAGATTTATGGCCCATATCATATGAGTAAAACAAATAGCTTTTGGCTTCTTTTTCCTTCTCTATCTAACTTTTGGAGACTTTCTACCTTACCGAGTCAATTCATCTTAATTTCCTCCAGTTAATTTGTTAACCAGCCAGCAATTGAAACAACCATCTGTATGATTTCAGACTTGGTAAAATTTACCTCAATTTTTCTGTGTGTCTATATATATTTGATTGTTGTCCATGATGCACTCATAAATAAATTTTCTGATGCATTTTCAAATTCTGTGGGATTTTCTTTTCAACCATCTTTTTTTTGTTTCTTTTTTTTTCATTGTAGCTCACGGTTGGGCAGAAGTCGAAAAATACGCAGATCTGAAAAATTAAACTGTTCAACTGGATAACATGCCTTTGTTTCGTCTATATATCTTCGTGTGTTTGCGTTGTGGTGTGTCTGATGTCTACTTAAATGATTTCAGTAGGCTTAATTATAAAACCTGAAAAAAACACAACAACAACATCGGAATCAGTTTTTATTACAAATACAAAACACACATTCAACATGTTTGACAAATTCACAGCAGTTTTATTTGTTTAGTCAAATTAATTAACTGAATGAACAAGCATAAAGAAAAAGCTAAGCAACGTTTTGCCTCAAATTTTTGTTTGTCTGTTCTTTTTGTTTTCATCCCACTACTTACTTATCTTATGTACACATATCTGCGTGTTTTCTGTGAAAAAATTACATTATTGTGTGAATTTCGAGGTGAGTAAATTTTCTCAAAGTAATGTATGTATATATTTATATATGTTTAACCGGTGTATCGTTAGACAAAAGTAAACTGAAGTGCCGGGTAAAAGAAAGATAACAAACAGAGATATGAGGTAAAAATAGAAGGAATATGGAGGGACAATATAATTTTATTGGATATTATAAGTCACAATGAGTGGATGTATCTACGCCAGCCATTGAGAACGGTGATTTTGAGCAATAGTACCAACTGTCTCTGGCCTTCATTGGTTTTTATCATCCCGAGGACACCCACAGGCCAGGAAGTCTATACCTTCCTACGTGGCTGGCTGGCTTAAACTAACTGTTGTGGATTTCATTGACTGATGAAACCATGCTGGTTTTGGTTTGACCATCACTAGTTCTTTTCCAACCTGATCCTATATCAGCTAACACTGCTCGTCGGTCGAGGAAGGCGATGCCTGAGCCTACGGAAAATATGTCCTAACCCTCTCAATCGGTGTCACTTCACAACCTCGTTGACTGACTTCCCCTTCTTACCTAGCACTCGACCGAAGCCTAACCTCAACATTGCTTACCTTGTTATACCACTTAACACGGGAAACAGAACTTAGAGACCTATGATCAAAGACAGGTAGCCGTGCGTATCATGTCTTCCACTTTCAATGGCTATGTCTCACTAACAGCAATAAAGGAAGACAGAGTGAACTGCTGAGCAGTACACACGCCCTTTTTGTCGACAGCCAGCTGGATATCACGTCTAGTAAGCTAGAGATGGCTTAAGTTGGTGTATGCGAAACAAGCCTTCTGTATCCGTGCTGAGATTTCTTTAACGAACAACCCATTGGGGCTGATGGACGATATGACATCTATCCATGAAGCCCCTGACACCTGGTTTTAGCCAGCCACTTATGGAGGTGCAGAATACCCGGTTTAGGGTCTTCGAGGTTCTAAGAACCAGTCGCTGGAGAATGTTGATGGTTTGACTTAAAACAGTTCTCAGTGGCACAGATACATTCACTCCTTCTGGTCTTCTAAATCTATTAGACCCTCATGTTTTCCAATGTCACCCTTCTTTTTCTTGTGCATGTTTGCTGACTATATTTTGTTGAATTACCTTTTTCTCATTTTCGCTCTACCTTTGTGTACTACATGGAGTGTGACAGCACGAACTGCCGCACATCTGTGCTAATTCTACGTCGAAACTCACACAGTCAGTCAATCATCCAATCACTTTAAATTAAGACTTTTAACGCTTTTCAATTAGATAAAATTTTCCAAGATAATAGCGAAAATTAAGACTTTGAAGCGAAAAGGAATTTTTTATTTACTGACACTAATTGTGTGCATTTTACATTCAGCTATAAATTTCCTGTGGGTAATGGAGTGATCTAACCGTCTCCATGTTATATAAATTTAGAAGGGTTTGTGATGTATGGCTACAGAAAAAAAATTCAGAAAAAGCCTTATTTATGGAAATCAAGAAAAGAAATATCTCTTCAGCAAATAAATATGTTATCCCACTGAATTTGTTATCAGTGAGAACAACAATTTGTAGACTTCTAGTTCGAGTCCCACATCGTCGGAGATTTTCATTACACTTTCAACCATTATCTCAGATAGTACTGCCTTCATTTATGTGTATTTGGCAAGAATTTCGTATGATATTACTAAAAATGTTCATTTATTATATTTATATAATTCCCTTGGGTTCCTTGCGTAAATTAGGGCTTCCACAGCACATTTGTGCATTCCTCTTTAGCTGGCTTCACAATTTCCCATAGACTCTCATCTGCCCTTGACACGAATCTCATCGCTTAGTTTACTAGTTCACTAATTTTCTACCTGATCTTAAGCCCTGGGAAAGGAGGAGACTGAACGTGGAGACCGCCAGCCTACTCCGGAAATTCAATTCCATCGCTAAAGAAACTTTAAGGCACGAAAAAAACTTATCCTTCTCTGGAACAGGAGGGAAGGAATGAAGGCATAGACTAATGAAAGCCTTAGGGAAGCCAGTCACCCAATGTGTATTCCTTAGATAGAAGAAAAAATAGCCATGTGGATGTGGAATGTACACAGAATGTACGAAAGGTAAAAAGGTTATCAGGTTGCCAAAGAAATGAGAAGTGGCACAGAAGTGCCAGGAATCTGGGACTCTCTACGTCCATATGACTGATAAAGGTAATTGACAGAAACAGTGTTATACAATAGATTGAATATTCCCTTAACAAACCACTGACCCTAATAGCATTAAAGTAGATTCGAATTTAGTCAAATTTTGAGAATACCATTAAAGACAAGAAATCAGAAGTATGTTTTAAAGGGCAAATGATTTGTATTTGTGCACAGGAATAATTAATTTATGCACTGAACAGCACTCACACTGTATTATGTATCTACATCGATTCTTCATTAGGGGTATTATTTAAATGTGTAACTTTATCTGTTCTGAAGGTAAAAAGCTTCTAATGTGGGATATACAGTCCACTGTTTATTAGTTATATAAGTCCTGTGAAAAGTGGTTTCAACCCCAGTAGTATCGCCTTTTCCCGATTATTACAAGAAACACAAATATCACATTAGTCTAGCAAATTTTGTGAAGTGCCCAGGAGGATATACAATATAATTCCTTCAGTGCTGAACAGTCAGCGGGTTCACCTCGTAACCTGGAAATCTTGGTTTCGATTCTCATTAGGTCATAGATGCGTGATGTTGAAGAGGCCCTAACTAGAAGAAAGTGGCTGTCCATTACTCTCTGGTTTTCGGTGGTTCTCCAGCTGACATCAGTCAGTGGTCGAATCGGAAATAAGTCGAATCCTTACAAATGAACTCTTGAAAATTTACCTGATGCTGGCTGGTGGCTAGCTACAGGATGATGTTACCCGGATTTCGAAATGGGAAGCCATGAACAGCGGTGTCCATCCGGTTGGGAGTGAGGACGAATACTAGCCAATGAATTTAGCTAGCAGTTGCGTTAAAATCGGCAGAAGTTGGAATTCATGCTCGAGCCAGTGGATCGGGTCCCAATGGCTGAATGTTCTGTGAGCTTGATTTTTAACCATGAGGTCGTAGGTCTGAACCGCCAATGAATCCCAGACTATTACGAAAAATCTGTCTACTACTCCAGTTCCGCCTTTCAATGGTACTCTGACTGACATCATCAAAGGGGAGAATTTATATGAAAGATGCGACGTGTTTGTGCATAAGTATTTCGAAAAAAAACTGATCTCATATCTTAATGTCAACTAAATTTATTGATGCGATTGACGAATGCTGAAATGAAGATCCGGATTCCAGCAGTCCTCTAAACATAAGACTGCCTAGCCATATTATGAGTTTATTTTAAGCGGAAAGGGAATAAACTGCAAGGCCAAATAAGATATTTAAGAGTATGGAGAATGATTATTGACACCAATCTTGATAATACAATCAGATAAGAATTATCAAGGTGGATTAGATGTGACACCAAATTTCTATATATGCACACAAGGTGAAGCTTTTACTTCTAAGAATCACTATTACCTCAACATATTTCAATGTGCATCCCTGTCTATTTTTGTATGTAAACCCTGAAGTCTGTATTATTATTATATTATTGTTTCCTTTAATTCCTAGAGGAACATAGGGCTTCAGCCGTGCGTCTCCATTGCGTTCGGTTCTCTGCCAGAGTCTTCACCTGGCTCCAAGTCTGCTCACATGCTTTCATCTACTCTTCACATGACCTCCTTCAAGTCACACTTGGACGACCAACTCACCGTTTCCCGTTCGGGCTCCACTCGAGCAATGGCTTGTCTAGTGATGTCAGTTGATGGCTTCCTTGGAGTATGGCTGATCCATCTCCATTTCTTCCTGCATATTTGTTTCACAATCGGTTCCTGGTTGGTTCGTTCCCAAAGATCCCTGTTGCTGATCTTTTCTGGCCGGCCATCTGATCTTGAGTATTGAGCGAAAACAACTGTTAATGAAGGTCTGTAGTTTGTTTGAGGTGCTCTTTATGACGCGCAGTGCAAGTCTCAGATCCGTATAGTAGCACTGACTGACTTCACATTGGAGTTGAAAATCCGGATCTTATTTTCACTTTCATGCTGACTGCTGTTGACCTACACACAGACTTGAGAGTAGTGAAAGCTTGTCTTGCTTTTCCGATTCTTGCTTTGATATCCTCGTCAGATCCGCGTGTAGTTGAAATGATGCTTTCCAGGTAGGTAGGTAAAAGAGGTTGTTTCTTTCAGGTTCCTCCCATTTATTCTGATTTTTGTCTGTTGTTGTTGCTGTTGGCCAGGAATCTTCACCACCTCTGTTTTCTCTATGTTCACCTTAAGTCCTATCTTCTCTGGATGATTTTTCTGCCAAGTTGTTGCTTTCCGCTTGCATATCTTCCAGTTTGTGGGAAATCAGACATATATCATCGGCGAAGTCCAGATCCTCCAAGTTCTTTGTGTCAGTCCATTTTATGCTTGTTTCCTCAATGCCCACTGTTTGTCGCATTATCCAATCTACTGTAATCAGGAAAATCATTGGCGATAGTAGGCAGCCACCTTGTCTTACTCCTGTCCTCACTTCGAAGGATTCCCTAAGTTTCCCGTTGTGGATTACTTGGCATTCAGCATTGTCGTACAGCTGTTGGATGAGATGTATAGTCGTCAGTGGCACCCCGTAGTAGTAGTAGAAGTCTGTATTGACATCAACATTATGATTCTAGTTATTTCATAATTGGAAGCAGTCGGTAGAAAGCCTTCTACGTGGATTTCGTGCTTTTTGGCATAGATGAGTCAGTAAGGCGTACCTACAACCTTATTGAAGGAACTCATTTTCCTTCTGAGAATAAAACCAGTGCTACTCAGTGCTGAAGTCAGAGACGTCACCACTGAACTTTTCGGGTTCGCGATTGATCTCTTGTATTGGAAACTTTGATGGGACTGAGTGTGCAGCAAACACAGGATTAGATGCATGACACCAATCACTTATGATACTTAAATATTCTATTGAGTCACCTGTCGAAATGAAGACTCTTCAGAGTGAGGAACTATTGAGTTACCTTATAAATCTGTTAAAAAGTAATCCATTTAACTGAAATAGCCAGCTTTCTTAATTCACTTTTAAAGGAAATGTTTAAACTCCTTTCCAGCAGTTGTTAGAATGAATAAAAATTAAGTAAGACACTAAGAATATACGTCTTATATGATTCATCAGCATTTCAGTAGTAAAAGAAACCATTAGATAAAAAAAGAGGCCACTTGTTTTTAACATTTCAGGAGTGCGTGTTAATCTGACAGTGATTTCTCCAAAAATCTGGTTTCTGGTTACTCAGAATGTTTAATTTTTGTTTAAAGCTTTCGATAGCATAGAGAGACTTTCAAGTGATGTTGAAATTCATGGTCGATTGGATTGCCTCCCTGATGAAGAGTCCCGGACTAGGACAAAACAGATGCCATGTACTCCCTGGTTTTTCAGGAGTTCTATAACCGATATTAGTGAGATAACCATTGAAAACCAGGACACATTGGACAGCTGTCTAGCCCTAGTTTGGGATTCTTCTGTAGAACTCCCCTTCAACTTCACCGAACATTGAATGCAGGATCCTCATGCCATGAATCCAGCCCAATCACGATACACTACTCAAGTAGTCTATTATTATTATCCCTTTTTGACTTTATTAAACTTTTCATACAATTTAATATATGGAGTTCGTTCATCTCTTTATTTTACAGATTCTTCGGCCATAACACTGATCATTTCTATGTTTGTCTCCAGTGAATATATCCATCCCTATATACAAACTATCCCATATGCAATAACCATGACAATTGTGCTGCCTCAAATCAATTGATTAAAAACACAAATCCTCATTAAAACTCTAATATGGTTGTCTCTTCTTGCCTTCTGTTCAGCTTCTCCGTACTTATTATATATTTTTTGATTAATTCTTTTTTGTTTTGTTTTTATTATTGATGTGTTTAAATTGTTGGCGTCATTTTTGTTGTGCTAATTTCTCCTAAAAGTTTCACACTTATACAGACATACAGGATGCCCCTCTTGCCAATGAATGTGTATGCTGATGTTTAGATTTTCGGTTTAACGACTGGGTGAGTATTCAAGTTTTCAATGAGCAAAACCGCATAATATATACATCTGGAATAGAAGGGAGTACATTTCTTGAATCGCTAATGTGTTATGTGTGCGTGAATTTCACTTGACCTTTCAAACCGGATTCCCTTCATCTACTTTTTGATTTATCAAAGATAATATAACCTTCTTGAATTGTCAAATTATTGACAAAAAAGTATTTATTATTAACATGAACGCTGTCTTTCTTCTGCTTATATATATATATACAAAAAATCAGAAAGTAAGCGAAGAAAACCCACCTGTTGTCTCTACATCATTTGCGTCCTTCTCTTCTGGTTTTCCTGTTTCTTATTTACAATCAGAGTTGACTTATGTTTTATTTATTTCTTTAAATGTAAATGTTCACTATTATTGTTATTATTATTATTGTTCTTTTGGCGTTGAATGAAGAAAAATATATATACATAGACCTCCTGAAATAATGCATTCCCCTTCATTCTATGCAATTAGTGACCTTTGGAAGTAGTTGTCGATAAAGAGCAATTCAAAAGCGCTTTAGTATATGTAGTGAGTCGAAGGCTTAAACACAAAAGAGGTCAAGGTTGAAAACCCAGCTGACTCAGTCATAATCTTCAGAGAGACAAAATGACCCAGAACGATAGAAGCTTTCGAGAATCTAGTCAGCTGACATGTTCCCCTTCGATGAAACTAGAAATAAGCATAGGGACATGGGATTTACTCATAACTTCCGACGGTGGAAAACTCTGTCAGATTGCCAGAGACATGAGGAGGTGTGGTACAGAAGTGCTCGGAGTCTGTAAAAGTAGATGGAGTGGGAGAGGACTTTTGAAAGTGTCAGCTGGAGAGTCAGTAATTTATTCTGGTCACCCAGACGACAATCATGAGTAGACTGAAGGAATGGCTATCAAGATGTCATCAAAATCATCGAAGGCTATAAAATGAGACAACAGTGGGCACTGTTTCAGTGAAGTTATGTTGTATGCAACCTAAAGAACAGATGGGAGAAATCACCTATGCTATTCATCATTTCACAAATTAAAAAATCCTCACAAAAAGTGTTTCAGTGGATGGTTATTTTCAGCAAGCTCTACAGTTATAAATCTATGAATATTAGAATACAAATAGCCACTAGAGGCAAGTGAAAACTACATCAGGAACTGTATTACAGTCCAAGTATAAGATGGAACAACAGTCCATTAGTTAACATTGTCCAACGAATGCACATAAAAGGTACAGTCAGTCAGAACATAAGAAGAAATGTTAATAGACCATCAGGTGACATACTAATGTAAGGATGCCTACTGTATCGAATTACTGGAGCTGCAGTGACAAGTCGTGACCAGTTGGGTTCACCATTTCAAAGTGAAGAGGATGAATATTGAAGGCATTGGTGAGGGCAGCAGTATATCTTCCGCTAACAAAGTAACAAAACAGGGGTAACTGAATTCCACTCCCAGTGGCTGAATGGCCAATTAACCTGGTCTCGTAACCTGAAGGTCCCTGGTTCGATCCCTTGTGGTATTGTGGGTGAGCAGTGATGAGAATTCCCAAAATAGGATGAAACAGCTGCCTAGTGCAGTCTAGTTTTCAATGATCTCTCTAAGTGATGTTTGTCAGAGATGGAGACCTGAAAATTGAAATGAATGTAATTAACAGCATTAATGTTATTTAAGTAACATCGAATCAATAATAATATCAGTGGATTATATCGATTCGATAGCAACAACATGCAATAGACTGAATATCAGAAAAATTAGGAAGGATAATACTACAAATTCAGGAATTTATATTCTCCACTGAAGGCTGGCCAGAGCAGTAATAGTGGCTGGCTGGACTTACTTCTTCTGCACTCAGAGCATTGGTTGTTTTAGGTGAACTTCAGTAGCCTTCGCTGTTCGGAGTGGATATTTTGTCAATTTATTTGGTAACCGATAGATGATGGAGAAGGATTCTTCAATGCTAACTAGCTTTGTAGCCAGTCTGGACCAGGTGTTCTAATATCGAGCTGTTGATGCTTTTCACTACACCTTTATTAAATGGCATTGGTAGATGGTCTCGACTGAGCATGAAAAATAAATTTCCTATAGCAATGGCCAATATAACTCGCTCCAGCACAAGCACAGTTGATCTGGTAGATACAGTCAGAGGTGGCTAGTCTGGCTAATTCATCTTTCACTTGGGGAATCACCATCTGTCATGTAGAAAATAAGACTTGTACTTAGGCAGTCACTACTTATACCCTGGCTGGCCTTCAGTGGAGACTATAAATTCATGAATTGTGTGTTATTATTATTTTTCCTAATTTCTCTGATATTCAGTGTATTGTTATGTTATGTTGATAATATCGAACTGTAATCCATTGATATTATTATTGATTCGATGTTATTTAAACAACATTAATGTTGTTATTAAAACTAATTTATTCATTCACTATTATGTGTGAATATAACTGTAGAGCCTGTTGATGAAGAAGAGGTTACCGGAAAGAATATTCTTTGTTCGTTCAGTAACCATTTTTTTGAAAATTTTAATGAGCATTTTGAATCATTTAAAATTAATTTTCTATAGTTTAGTTTGTAAGGATTAGTTTTGTTTTCACGAGTTGATCACGGATTGATATCAGTTAGAGAACCATTGAAAATGAGCACTAGAGTACTGGCCAGCTGTTTCATCCTAGTTTGAGAGTCATCCGATGGATGTTCCACCGACGACAGTGGTTGGGGTCGCGCTATTGAATTGGGTCCTATTGGCTGAATGGTATACGAGCTCGCCTTGTAACCGGAAGGTCTTGGGTTCGAGCCCCAGTGAGTGCGTACTGCTGATGATTCTCAAGCACTAGAATGAAAAGCCGTCCAGGACTCCAGGGCTGGTTTTCAATGGTTCTCTAACTGATATCAGTCCGTGATTAACTCGTAGAAATTGAAATTAATCCAAAATTCCTACAAATTCTATTACCTGACTGAATTTAAAATGGAAAAAATAAAGATTTTGCGAGAAGAGGGGAAGTTATATTCGGTGGTATGATAGAAATGTAGATACCACAAAATACAAACAAATAGATGAGGCACACTGAATATAAGTTTGAGGATTGCCAACTAACAAATAGAATGATTAAAAGTAAAGAGGTTAAATAGTGAACTGTAATCAAGTACAGGAGATGAGAAGTTTGTAACAGCAGAAGGCAAGACACAGACACCAAGGTATATTTTCCATTGATCAAACCGCTGTTTATATATCTACAGTTTATATTCGTTAACCAATCACTGGGCATGTGATTTTCGTTTACATCAAACGAAATGAAACAGAATATACTGTATTCTGTTGCTAATGCCGAAGTGAACCGTGCGAATGTGTGAGAATAATATTCCGTTGGCAAACATTGTCTGTATCACACCACCAAAACGTTTAATGTTAATCCAAACTTTGACAAATAATAATGGTGAAATGAAAATATGAGATGATTACACTCATGATGACCTTATTTTACGGCAGGGTAAACAAAACGTATGAATGGGCTTTTTGTATACATAGATGTGGTTTATTCATATGCTCAATTGCTTCAGTTATGTCTAGAAGATGTAATCGATACACAATCGTAAACGACTCATCTATTTTGATGTGGTATTCGCTGTCCACTAGATGGCATAAAATGGAACTGTCTACTGACTTGGTCACTCCTTTCTCAAACGAAACGGGAATATGGTCACATGTGCGTAAAAATAAATTCCTCTGGGGACGACCTATATATAGAGCTCCACAGAAGCATGAAAATTTGCATACACACATTGATACTGCCATTATTTGACAGTTAGTCTTAGCGCAGTAAGTGGCATACAGTACTGAAGCAGTGAAAGTTCTTTCAACTGATCCAATCAATACACGACTTAGTATATCACTGGATATTATCACCTTTGAATTGTGTTCATCAAATAAAGCTTTTTCTTACTCACTGTATTAGATCCGTTTGAGCAATTAAGCCTGTTGAAATTTTGGTAATTAAGGATTTGGTTAATTTCACTGAAGATTTTTTTATGAATGTAGATAAGGTCAGGTGACTGACTGAAAACCAAGTGAGACACTTTCTATGTTGATCAATACTACAACCCTATGCTCCTGTCCATCCCAAGCAAAATACTGAGCCGCATCATCCTGGAAAGAATCAAACAAGCCCTGGATGAAAAACGTCGACCGGAACAGGCAGGATTCAGGAGAAACAAGTCATGTTTTCATGAAATCATTGAACAAAGCTTGGAATGGTGGTAACCTTTCTATCTCAACTTCATCGACTTTGAAAAGGCCTTTGACAGCATCGATCGATAGGTGATTTGGAAACTATTTCGCTACTACGAGGTACAACCGACAATTATACATCTCATCCAACAGTTGTACGATAATGCTGCGTGCCAGGTAATTCACAACAGGAAGCTTACGGAATCCTTCGAAGTGAGGACAGGAGTCAGACAAGCTGGCTGTCTACTATCTCCAATGATTTTCCTGATTGTGATAAACTGGATAATGTGATAGACGCACAGGGAGCAACGAGGAGACAGGCATAAAATGGACCCACACAAAAAACTTGGAGGATCTGGACTTCACCGATTTCCCACAAACTGGAATATATGCAAGTGAAAAGCAACAAGTTGTCAGAAGAAGCATCCAGAGAAAATAGGACTTCCTTCAGGTGAACATAGGGAAAACAGAGGTGATGAAGATTCCTGGGCAACACCAACAGCAACAACAACAGACAACAATCATCACAAATGGGAGGAGTCTGATGGAAGCAACCTCCTTTATCCACCTACCTGCGAAGTATCATTTCAACTACAGGCGGAACTGACGAAGGTATCATCAAACGAGAATCAGGAAAGCAAGGCAAGCTTTCATTACTCTCAAGTCTGTGTTGAGATCAACAGCACTCAGCATGAAAAATGTGAAGTCAGTGCTACTATACGGATCAGAGACTTGGCCAGCGCGTCATAAACAGCATCTCAAACAAACTACAGACCTTCATCAACAGCTGTCTTCGCCCAGTGCTTCGCTGAAGATCAAATGGCCTGCCAGAGAA